AATAAAGCATTTCTTTTTCATAATATTACAGTACTACTTTATATCACGTTATTGGTGCTCATAATAACGCCATTAACACCAATATTGCTAGACATTGTGATGCCTCTTAACGAATCACGTTCGCGATTCTTCGTCATCGAAGTCGAATTTAGAGTGAATAAAGATGAATATTTTCTACCAATTTTTTGTTACATTTCCGTTCTAGCTATTGTGAGTATAAACATCACGGTAAGCGTTGATACAATGCATATCGCATGTACCGCGCATGCATGCAGCTTATTTGCGGCTGTCAGGTAAGCAGATGAAGTATGAAGATAAGACGTATATGATAGAACACGTGTAACGCTCTATTATTATTACAATTATTATTATTACAATTAACAAGATTCTGATTTTATATTATATATATTTTCTAAAAATCTATTGTATATATATTATATGTATATATTGTATATGCTATGTGTTATATGTATTTTATTTGATTTGTGCAAAATACTGCCAAATTTATTTCGCAGTAAGCAAATGGAAAATATAATGTTAAAAGTAAACGACAATAACAATGATATTGGGGAAAATAAGTCTAGTATAAATAAGAAATTTGATTTGTGTGTATCAAGCGAAAAAATGATATACTGGAAATACGTAACATGTTTAAAAAAACATCAGCTTGCTATAAAGTAAGCAATTTTGGTGAAATTGTTTGTTAATTTGTCTTTTGTATTCTAATATTGATATAATGTTACAGCTTATGCTCAAAAGTTAATTTGCTAACATTATTTCTATTCCCTAGATTTGTTGATGTATTAAATTCATCGCATCAAGGATATGCAGTGATTCAATTAATAATACTTATTCTAATCGTGAATCTAATTGGACTTCGAGTAAGTGTTATAATTGCATATACATATAACATGTAATATACTCTCTTCTAATATAAAATATAAATTTACAATCATGTAAAATAATAAAAACTATAATATAGTTGGATTTCGATATTTCCTGTTCATTTGAGATCGACTTGTTTTTGGTTAATTAAATTTTTATTTATATGTACAGTCGCCGCCAATGATTCCTTTCCTGAGGTATTCTTATGTTC